CCCACACCCACACCCACACCCACACCCACACCCTGTATCGTCGGTGTGTGCGCATTCCACTCCAAAATCTCAAGCAGTCACGAATATTCATGCGAACGTTTTCGTTAGTTTCATCTATGTTTTTTTACTTGAAATTGTATCTTCAACTTTTCTTTCTAGAAAACACCTCAACCACCAAGCCGACCGTCTAGTCAAACGACGCCTGGCTTCAGAAAAACATACGGCCCTCGCAAGAATGTGACTCAACCAGAAAAAAATGCTTTTTGATTTACTTTTGTAAAATGAAATTTGTACAATTCACTCATATAGAACAGTTCAAATAAAGGTTGTTACCGTCTCGCAGTGATATCGAAACATATTTTTAATTCACATTGTCAGGATCTGCCATCTATATTATATATAGATGTGCCATCCTTCATCATCGACATATTCTCTCTTTGTTCATCTCGTCTGATATATGTTGTTGTCCTTTCTTTTTTCCTCACTAGTTGTTTTTTTCTTTTCTCTAGTCATAACTTGTTGTTTTTTTCTTTTATTGATTTATTATTCTTTTTTGTGAAAAGGGTTTAGGTCCATATTGATTTATTTAATGAAAAGAACAGGAACCTAACAATGGTGCACTAGCCGGTGTTTTATTTTTATATGCAAAGACCCGCGTGGCGAAGGAGCAAAGATTATTATTTAAAAAAAAACAAATTAGATATTATGGAAGTTCTTAAAAATTCTACTATTAATCTTATTCGATCAACAAATAATATTAACAACCGGGTTGGTCATGATTCATATGATCACCCGTTTCTTCAAATTGATAAACAACAACAATATGTGGTTCAATCTTGTTTACGTTCTGTGCCTAAATTTAATGGTCAAGGAAATGCAGAAGAATGGTTCCCAAGCAGACAAACTTTTGAAAAAACGCGTTTAAACGCACAGAAATTGGCCTAAAATCAGCAAAAAGTGGGCGTTTTTGGCTCACACTTGAGGTTCCCGACTGTGAGCCAAAAACGCCCATTTTTCGTGTTTTTTGTGCGTTTAAATGCGTTTTCAGAGAAAAAACGCATTTACACGCATACAAAAAAGAAAAAAAGGGCGTTTTTTGCTCTCAGTCGGGAACCTCAAGTGTGAGCCAAAAACGTCCACTTTTTGCTGA